GTTTCAGACATAATTTCTTTTGTCAATAAATAGGCTTGTGGTTGATGAAACGGTTTTTATTATGGATTAACTGTCTCTTCCTAAGAATTGATTCTCATCAATGTATCTCTTTCCATCCTTGTCACTGTGACTCCTAGCATTGTATGTTATTCACCTAACCAAATTTAGACAATACTACATTATTATAAATACTAGCTTTTGTGGGACAATATAATACTACAAGACACTTGATTTTAAAATATCACAAGGCACCAAAGCTCATTATACGACTAATTCCTAACCATGAATTGCCCAGCTTTATCATACGCTCAGAAAATCACCCTTGGCTAGCCTCACAACCGATCTCGGTGGTCTTACCTGCATTCGATTTTGCCCAACTTCACCATGTCTTCTCGCCGTGACCAGTGAGAATAGTGTTGTCTCCTTATATCGCATTTGCTGCAACTATGGTGAAGCGGAGTATGATATTGAACTAGACACAGGTGACCACAACAGTGAACAAGATTCAACCATCACCAGTACCGAAAGCAGACTTGATTCTGAGGTCGGAGTAGAACCGCAAAAACCCACTTTCAGTCTACGTCTGGTGCGTCAATTATGTATTTCGAACGGCATAGCGACTAGAACTTCGACAGCATCGGGTGTGAGGAGTGAAACCAGCAGTGCCCGAGTACGACAAACGGAAGAGGAAGAAAATTCTATGGATTTTCCAGTGGCAAATAAGGGAGATGATATTCAAAGTGTTCAAGGCGAAGCCAGCTACGCTGCACCTTTGTTATGTGCAGAATTTAATCCTGTTGAGTAAGTAAAGAGAAGCAAATGCTTCTAACGTTTTTTTGTTAAACGATTATCAATATCTACCAGCAACACGCATATAAAGTAGTTTGTTGAGTTTGGGCTAGTTATACAATAGTTTCGGGCTACATTTAATACTTTTAGTTTGTGTAGAACTCTCGAGTATACATTTTGCTTAGATCAGTGATTCCCATACTGTGCGCCGCGGCGCCCCGGGGAGCCGCTGCCTCTTTAAAGGGGCGCCGCGAAATATTGTAATAGCTTCAATTTGAGAAAATGTGTAGTGATTTACAGGCGAGTTTTATTTTTTTCAATCTCTTACTTACGAATATTCATACTTAGGGTAGGGCGCCGTGGACAAATTTTAATTGAAAAAGGGCGCCGCGACTAGGAAAAGTTTGGGAATCACTGGCTTAGACCAAGATAATAACACCTGTTCAACCAACTATTTTATAACAGATACTCTTTTTGTCTATTTCTGAATGAAGAAGCAAGATCTAGTCAGAAAAACAGGACAAAAAACTATACAGCTTTTATTTCAAAAATATATGGATCCGTTTTGGGGTTTGTATAACCATTAATACTGCTTGAACAATGTATTGGCTGTATATAAGTTGGAATATCCTAAATATTTTATTTTCTCAATTTTATATTATTTCCTTTTCCTAATCTCTCGGCATCGTTTTATGGATTCAGTATATTTTGCTCACATATGTTTCAATTGTGGCTAATTCCCAAGGAACTTATACAGGATAGCTTTGCCATATTTTATATCGGCACAATTGAAATTTTAGGGAAATAAAGATTGAGCTTTA